AAACCCGTCGAGAGCCAAGGAGCGCGGCCGAGCCGGGCAGACGCCGCGTCCCAAGCAGAGCAGAAGGTAGTTTCACACTTCATAGGTGTGAAATTCATTTATGCATTTATTTATAGTTCAAATTTGCCACTGCCCATCTCACTGCAGAGTGACTCTGGCTGGTTTACAATAATGCTAAAAAGTATACGGTGACCGTTGCATCTGCCCCCGAAGCACTTCACCCTTGGATCGTGAAAGGCTGGGGCGTCCTGTCGGTCTTCTAAGAGTGCAGGGCTAAAAGAGAGTGTGGGGCAGAGGTGGCTCCCTTGAGGGCACTGTCCTCACCAGAAGAGCTGCGGAGCGTCCTGAGGCCAGCCTGCTGCTCCTACAGCTCAGAGATAGAAGAAGCCCAGCAGAGCTCCAGGCAATGACCTGATTACCGCTGAAGTAATAATCTAGACCGGTGGATCCCATGTTAGTATCCCTATAGACTCCACTGCCCCAATTCCAGGGGAGTGGCCCTTAGCCAGGATCATGCCCAGCTGAGATTTGCCAGTCAACTATAGACAGTCTTCTAAATACAACTGGCAAAGTTTACACTAAGCATCTTTATAATAAATGTCTAGGCTGATGAGAACGTATACTGTACTGGCCGAGGAGCAGGCAGGCTTGAGAGCCCGCGTTCGATTACAGATCCTGCCTTAATTTTACAACACAACACCTACTTGAAAAGTAACGCTGGTTCAGCCCTGTCACTGTTATTGAATTTAGATTTGCATTTAGATTTAGAGAGCCAGTTTGGTCTAGTGGTGAAGGCACCAGGCTAGGAACCAGGAGGCGGTGAGTTCTCATCCCGCCTTGGGCATGAAAGCCGACTGGGTGACTTTGGGCCAGTCCCTCTCCCTCAGCCCAGCCCACCTCGCAGGGTTGTGGTGGTGGGGAAAAGAGGAGGGAGGGAGGGAGAAGTATTAGGCACGTCTGCCGCCTTGAGTTACTTACAAAGTAATAAAGGCAGGATAAAAAAACCACTAAAAATAAAAAAATAAATTTGATTTTATTTCTATGTCCCCTGGACTGCTAGGAGGTCAAACCAGTCAATCTTAAAGGAAATCAATCCTGATTGCT